GGGGGCCATGAATAACACCATCTTCCACTACTATTAGTTTTATTTAAGTTGTTTCTAAGTTGCCTTATATCGCTAAGGCAGAGAATGAAACAAGCTTTCAAACTAATAAATATCCCAAAACCTCTTCCAATTTTAAAATCTCAAAAAGGAAGCAAGCAAAAAATAATCACATATGGTATTAGAAGAATTTAATAAAATTGCAGAAATAAATAATTGTGGATAAATGTCATTCTGCCACAGTTTTCAATGAGTCATCTTCCATTGAAAAAATTCCAGACAAAAATATTCCCTGAAAGCTTTAACATCTGTTTCTATGCATAGTAATATGTGAACATTGGGATTTTATATTTTCCGTGTCTTTGAAATAACTAGTTTGAAAGATCTCGTATTGAGTCTTGCTTGATGTGTTTTACTTGGATTTTTTTGCATGACTGTTTATAGAATAATTTTAACCTGTCATTTCTCACAAATGACAGTTTTCAGGTTTATTTACTCCTATGAAAGAAGTTAGGCCCTACTTTGGCATTATCTTCTGAACTTCCTGCTTCCGCAAGCTCCGTGTTCTGCACTGTTTGCCTTGTATTGCTTCACTTACACAAGTACGCAGAAATTCCTTGTCTAGTGAAAACTGTGATAGGTTGCTTTAATGTTAAGTTTACCTTAAGTTATAAACTCTCTTGGCTGCCAGAAATATGTGTCAATCTCTAAGTTATGTTCTCTCAAGGGTAGATATTGACCAGCATATTATTTAGCTGAATGTGTTAAGGTAAAGAATTTTAAACAACATGGGTCAAACTGATAGTAACTCATACAACACGCTTCGGAAAAAAATGGTTACACCTACCAGCTCTTTAGCTTTCTGGAAAGCGATCTCCAAGTCACGTTAAGAACTAACCACTGAAAACAAAGTTCAGCTGTTCAACTTATGTAAATTTAGCTTTCTGTAGAGTAGGCAGGGTCAGCTTTATGACAGAATTTGTAATAGGTGATCCCTGCTGATGGTAAATGCTGCTCTGTTTAAAATCAGGTATTATGGGGGGCACTGAGGCTGGCTGCCTTCTGAGGTGGGAGCCTCACCAACCAGGGCCCAAGGGTGAGGGGTGGATGGAGCCCCAGCTGAGGCCAGGGCCCTGAACCACTGCCCTGCATCAAGGTGAACTGGGCATGCCACTTGAGTCCAGACCATCAAGAAAGGTTGTGGTGACAAGGCAGGACAGAGCACAAGCTGGGAATCAGTCCATGGGTCACGCTGAGGGTAACCCGGGGAGAGACAGCCCAGTGATATCGCAGAAGCGCTGTGGTGACAGGGCGGGACTGGTCAGGAGACCAGTCTGTGGGCTGAGGTTTGGACTGGGAGAGCCATGGCCTGGTAGGGTGGCAGCTGTGGCTGAGCTGGAAACTGGCACTTCTATGACATAGCTCAGACAGGGACTGGGGGTCCCAGAGTGAGCTGAACTGGGGCTCCAGGGCCCAAGGGCGAGGGGTGGATGGAGCCCCAGCTGAGGCTGGGCAGGGCCTCTGAGGCCTAGTAGTGCTCTCAGGGCCCTTACAGTTACAGGCCTTGAAAACCTGTGAGAAAGTAGTAGTATCTTGGAAGAACTGACAGCTGAAGAGCAGTGTGACAGTCAGTATCAACACCACATCTTTTTCACTTTGTGAGATATTTTCCTTCCACTGAATAAGACTATGCAGTAGTCATGAAGTATGTAAACTAAAGCCTTACCCAGATAAACAGTTCAGAGTTTGAGCTTTCTTGTTGTCTTTGATTCACCAAATACATGCACTTTGGCATGTACAGCTGTGAGTCTGCAACTAGCCATTCATTTTCCATTTTCAGGGACAACCAGGTAAGTTGGAGTAAGAGGAAAGTGCTAAGCTGTGAAGAAATACAGGCTAGAGTAATGTAGCTGGATGAACTACAGATGCTCGGATATTACGGTATGAAGAGAGTAGCAGTAGCAATTGGTTTAGAAAATTTCTTCCTAGTTCTGTCTTCTGCCTCTGTGCAGGTGGAAGATGATCCATCCATACCTACAACAATCAGTAACAAAAATATGGTCATCGTATGTGTTCTCCTGCTCCTTTTGTTCTGGTGCCACATTTTACAGATATTTCAATCCTGTATGTACATACTTATCCCTGTATGATTCTTTTGCACTCTTCAGTAACAGGTCTTGTTGCATTCTTTGCCAGAGTTAAAGTAGTATGTTTGGTCAAGGGTCAGTACATAGAGAGCACCTTTTTGAGTCCAGCTTTCAGTGCACCCAGATTTGACACATTGAATGCTCAGACCTTTGGAAGTCTATGGTCTTAGTTTGGAAACCTGTCTGAAAGTGTGCAAGTCATTCAACTTTAGCAAGGTGCCTACTTGTTTAGAACTGCAATGCTTTGATAGTTCATAGGAGAATGTTAACACTCTCTGTGTAGTTCTCAAGGGATACATTCTGTCGAAGGATAACTTAAAAAAATTGTATACTTTCTCAGTATTGCTTTCTCGTGTTTCTTAGTGGTATAATCTTTTTGACAACAAAGGAATTAGACAGTTTCTGTATTTTTCTCTCCACTGGAAAAAGCGTACAGACTGTGTTACCAATCTCTTTGTAGAGACTAACTTCCTTCTTCAGACAACTAGTTGCATTAATCCGATAATCTGTGTGTGCAAAGGTTTGCTAGAGAACTCACTCAACTGTAGAGTTTTCTGGCCTGTTTGTGCAGAACATCAGACTAACTGTTTCTTCCTGTTCACATGGAAAATCTTGAGGAAGTCACTCTTCATCAAGATGGAAAAGAACAATAGCCCTACAGCTTCTTTTCGGGGCTGTCCAAGGCTCACAATTGTACAACAAAGTAGTGATGAATTTCATGAGTCTAAGTATTAATTAATTTTTAAAAAATACGTTATTGAACAGCAGTGAGGCACTATGAATTGGTAAATTCATAGGTGAATTTACCAATATCATGATTCTGAAACTCTGTACAATGTTTGTGTGAAACAAAACATTCTCTGTTTTAAAAACATTAAAATACTTAAATTTTTGGACTGTTTCTAGACATGGATGCCGTGTTGTTGACTTGCTGTTACTGGCTTTGTGCTACTGGCTTGCCAGTTTTGGATTTCTTGTGAACCCCTCATTCCTAGTTAAACTGTATTTTTTTGGAGGGAAAAAGTAATTTGGAAGGACTTTAGATTGTTTGCATATGGTGCAGCAAAGTAAGAAATAGTTAATAGAAGCCAGCTGGACTGAAGTGTTGTATTGACTTACCGTTGCATCTTTAGGTCTGTAGCCTCCTTGCAGCACAGAGAAGAGAGGGCATTCGTAGATCCGCTAATGAGAACAAGAGCCTGTCTTTAAAAATAAGTAACACACGCTGCTGAGAGTGCAAGGGGGAAATTGCAGATGCTCTACCAAGTTGGGAGGTGCAGTAGCATTTGGATTTGAGCACTCTGGGCATTGAAGTCATTCCTGCACATTGCTCATTCATTTATATATTGGTTTGTTGAAAATGTAAGAATATGTTAAGTATTAATATGCCCAAGAAAATAATTTGGTTTTCTAATTCAGTTGATCAGCTGGTGAAACACTTGTCGTCTTCTGTTTACTCCCCCCACCCTGCCCCAATTCGTGGTGTGGGTTTTTTTGTTTATTTGTTTGTTTTCTACTGTATCCCTGAGATTTCCAAGTTAGCCTGAGGAAGTAAGATGCAATCCTATGTCCAATGCATATTTTGCAGTAAATGAGATTTTAAAAACATAAGACTAGTTCATTTACTATTGAATGCTCTTTTCTTCAGCCATAAACTTAGGAACTTTATGCCGGGAGAACTGGGTACCGTGATGCTTTTGTAATAATGTATATGGAGCCTGATGCAATGCAAAGGAAAATAATTAGAGAGACTTCAGCTTGCTTTAGAGCAGGCTGCGAGCAGCGTTGTAGGCATTTTGTTGTTCATTCTCCGTCATGCCTCTTCTCATCGTTTCAAGCTGGTGCCACAGGCTTTTATTGTTCTGACGTGCTGTTTTCCCTTCTTTTTTCATTTTCCCCCTGAATTGAACTGTCTCCTTCACCCAAGCCATTTTGCAATTATCTACTATTTTTTTCCAAAGGGAGGAGATGCAGAAGGAGAGTGGGGGGACTGCAGCGTAAGATAGGATGTGACAGGAGGTTCCTTACAGCCTTGATGTTAACCGAACGATTGCACCCGAGTCCATAACTTTCAGCTGTCCAAATAACAGCTCCTGAGCTTGACTCCTAGAAACAGTTAAATCTGACTTGATAGGTCTGTCGAGCTCTGTGTCCCTTGTTGTCTGGGCTGGCAGGAGGGTTTTGAGTTCTGGGTGGAGAAGGGAGGAACAAGAGGAGTGTGGTAAGATCACAGGGTGCTTTAAGGGTCTTTATGGCAGGGAGAGAGGAGAAACAGGCAGTGGCACTTCACAGATATAGCTTCTCACAAACATCTTTTTCATTTCCAAACTTCCCATGCTTCCCATTTCCCAGGAGCACAGGATTCTCATCCCTGACCAGCTGTTCCTTTCTGCAGCATTCTCCGGGCATATGCTGGTGGGGCAGGGGAGCAAACAGGAAGTGTGTTTAGATGCAACAATCAAAGAATTCCTTGCTTAATCCTGTCTGCACCTCTGTCCTTTTCTATTGCTTGAGAAGAAAGACATGTCTGGGAGGAAAGACAGCTGATTTCCAGACCTGTTTTGTTACAGGTGAACTGTCCTTAAAACCAAGCAAAATATGGACGGTTCATGGTGTTGGTTACAAGCTACAGTAAAAGTTGGTGTTGTTTTAAACAGACTTTGTTGATTTCTTGTGAGATAAATATGTTTCAGTTGTTAAGTACTGTTGTAGCCCATTTTCAATATCTCTGATGAATTTAACTCGATGTTTCCTTAAACAGAGTAGAGGGAGAGAAAAAATTGTTTATGCATTACTTGTCAGTTTGGAAGTTTTGAAGTGCTTTTGGAAATAATCAGCATGTTCTTTTGCTGACAGGATTTGAAATCTAGCAATCAGCGAGATGAAATTGCTGCAGCACGTGCATCCCTGAAGGAAAATTCCTCTTTCCTACATTCAATATGTACAGCTTGTTTGGAACATTCAGATGTTGCATCCCTTACAGCCAGCAAGGATTCAGTTTGCAGTGAAATACAGAATGCTCTCAATGTAATTTCTAATGCTTCCCAAGGAGTTGGAAATAAAATGGGACCACCTGCATCTCACACTGCTACTCTTGGAAGTGCACTTGATGAGCTGGAGGTATGTAAACCCATGTACCTGTGAGACTGCAACATTTTGTAAAAGTGGTTTATTTAATTTAACAAAAAAAACCCCAAAAACTGACTGCTATCATATGTGAAGGACCTAAAGGCATTGAAACTGGTGCTCTGCTTAGTCCTAGTCTAAGCAGTATCAGTCTAAATTTTTTCACTGGGAGGGTTCACTTCTTTCAAAAGCTTTTTTTCTATTCCTGACCTGATCCTAAGCTTTTGTATAGAGCTTTTCCTTTGCCTCATGAGTGCTGTGGCTCTTACCAGTGTTGTTTTCCATCGTCCTACCCAAAATGGTAGGAGACCTCCTGTAGATGAGATTACAGACCATGCTCCTGATTGGGAGTAACTGATGTAGGGCCCAACAAAGGGAATGGAAGTTTCTAAACATGTTTGCAGATATGGGTCTCTTTGGTTGTAAATTCTCAAACTTAAGAGATCTCAGCCTCGGAACTCCAATGTCATTGGTATATTTTCAAGAGAATTGGTGTTATGACTGATGGCAATAGAGTTTGTGTAAAATTTTCAGTGAAAGGTTAGAGAAATACATTGAAATCCATATATGACACAAATCTTGTAGTGGCACCTTATTGATCGAAACAGACCTCTCAGTCATGTGCAAAGTTGAATCTCACAGGTTTTCTCCCTCAAAGAAACAGGCTACAGTTGCACATTACAGGTTATCCTTCCTTGCTTCTCATGCTGGGTTTTAAAATTACGGCTTCTAATGTATTTTCTTAGTAAAAACCAAGTTTTAAGTGTAATACATGATTTATTACAGTGCAACTCTGAATGACAAACGATCTGTTTTAAATGAGAGCTGTTATTTACCTGCTTTACTTAGAAGTTTTTTAAACAAAATTTAGGACTGCATCTTCTGACTGTAAGTGAATTCATTTTGACTGTATGTGAGCAGTACCATTTTAATGATTAAAAAAAATTTAAATTTATTATTGTTTTAAAATTTAAGAATTATCATAATCACAAAATGGAAAAAATTCTTTTTTGGATTGAATTTTTTTTTTTTAGTTTGGAAACACAAGAACATGGAGGTCTGAGTGTTGTAAAAGGCCATTTGTTTATGGAGTTTTAAATACAGTTTTTCCTAGGTAACACAAATGGGAATTGAGGCTGTGGGAGTTAGATAAAGTACAGTTTACAGAGCATTTAACTTTAAAAAATGATTTTATGAATTAGATGGTTGCTCTCTTTTCTGTACAGAAAGTTCTATTGGCTAAGGACCTGAAATAACCTTTGCTCTATCTCCCTGTTGCAAATACAGTGCCATGAAATAGATTTATGTAGTAAATAGTCTGTTGGGAACAAATCTCATTAAATGTTTATAGTGTGGAAATGTATCACAGAGCTTACCCAACAACCTAGTATCTAGATGTTTTGCAATGTCATTCTTCCTTTTGCCAGTGCTGGCAGTGTGAAAGTTACTACAGATTTATAGGTGAGGAAACCACTAGTAAAATTAGAGCAGCTAACTCTTAAATCAGTAGATTCTCAAGGATTCCTCTCAAAGGCTCTGTATAACGACTATTTATGAACGTCATTCATGAATAGACACAAAATTGAAATGTTACCAATTTAATTGCATGTTAAGATCTGTGTTAAAAGAGCATGTAGGAGCAGGTTATCTAATGTTCACTGGTCTTGCATCTTCTGAATGTAAAGGGATTTCTCACTAAATGATGGAGGTCCTGCATGACTACTGTCTGTCAGCCTCTTCTCCATGTAGATGTACTGATCATAAATATTTGATGAATTTGCTTGAGGAGTTTAATCTGTGGGCATGAGCTTAAGCCATGGTTTCTTGGTCATTATTGTCTAGATTTTTTTTTAATTTAGAGCTGAACTGTAGTAGCTTTTTTGTCAGTGCTCTTTGTCCATCTTTGCATAAACTTTCTACAGACTGTCTCCTAAAGGGAGACCTTGCTACTACTGTTGCCTCTGAGATTTGAAGGCAGTTATTTTCCTAGCTAAATGGCTAATTGGCTGTAGCCTTGAGGTGTGTCAAATCTTACACAATCAATGAAGCTCTTTCTTTCTGTAGTAACAAATATTCTACATGGCAGGACTGTTTTACATCATGATGGACATTATACATGCAGCCTAGTTGAGGGATGCTTACTTAAGATACAGGAGTGCAACAGGGAAGTTGCTGCTCCTGTGAAGAGTGGCCAAGTGCCACAACTCCAGCAGAGGTGAGGTGCCACAGAACACTGGGGTTAAGGACTGTAATGCGGATGAGGGTGTTAGAGTTTCAAAACTCTTAAGGGTTTTTTTTAACTACTGAATAGTTCTTAACTGACTCCGGCTTGCCTACGTCTGCAAAAGAGGATGCAAGCAGTGGACTGGCCGTTTTCTTTGCTCTGCCTTTGCTAGTGGGAAAATTATGGTTCCATCCTGGTTTGGCTTTGGTTCCAAAGTTGCATGGAAGATTAATGTTTCCATGTTCAATGTATTTTTTTGCATCTTTCAATTAACAAATAATTAAGAGATTCAGATAGGTTTAAAATGTTGCCTTAATGGACATACAAATAGCAGTGGGTTTAATCTACAAAATATTGAAGCAAAAAAAATTGCACATAAACTCCTTTTTGGTGTATTATGTGTATCTGGATAGGTGAACATTGGTTTGAGAAAAGCCAGGAGCTTGGAAATACATAGTTACAACCTTAGATAAAGTTAAAGTATTATCTGCTGGATGCACATAAACACCTGACATAGACCCATAAAGCATTTTAATGGTCTATCCTGCCACTTGCTGAAACAAGTCCATAAACTTAGTTTTAGACTTTTTATAGTCTCTCAGGATAGACAACAGAAAATTGCAGTAACACTGGCCTGATTTTTTGGTGATACTCTGTGGTGGTATGAAAATCCCCAAATTCAACACAGAAAATGTAGAGACAGACAGAAATTCACTAGTATCTTTTCTCTCTAGTCTTTGCCTGTGGAAGTTTGAGGAACTGGATTTCATGTAGTCCCAGTTTCTGGTACAAAGCATAACATAATCCTAGAACTCTAGGCCCCAGAAAGTCTTACAGAGGTTGTTTCAAGAAGGTTCATTGTCCACTGGTTTTATGCATGTTAACAGATATTAAGTATGGGGCTGAAGTGCTGAGAGTACTTAGATACCTATAATGCTTTTAAATAAAGCGGAGAACTTCAAGGCAATGGAACAGTCCTGGAATGTTTAGAAAGCTACACTGATCCTGCAAGTTGGGAACTAAAAGCTTGCCTTTGAAAGACACAGTAATGCAGAAAGAACCTGCACCCGTTTCCTTTGGAAATATTCAGATTATGAAGTCTGATTTTTCTCTAGTTTTGCTGGAGAATCTCTCAGCTGTCTCAATACAATTCTTGTGTATGTCCGAAAAGATGAGAGGGTTGAACATGTAACAAAGTCTTCCTTTCCCTAAGTCATACCTAACGTATAAGAGAATGGTAATAATGACAAACAAGAAAATTTCAAGGTGACCCCAGTCCCCTTTCCTAGCTGTTTAAGCTTTTCTCTTATGATGTTCTAATAGAACACTTTCACTACTAGAATTGCCTAAGCTAGAAAGTACCTGAAACTGTGATAGTAAATCTAAATTGAAAAAATAATTAAAATTCACCAGCTTAAAAGTGGTCTGGCACATACTGGATAAACACAGATAAGTTCTGATCTACCTGACCTACATTCCATTTCAGGGTATGTAGCATAGATCTCTTGTTTAATATTTCTACTGAAAGCTTGGAGCCACATACGGATATAACAGGTGAATGGATTTATGTGGAATAAGGCTTGCTGATCTGGACTGTAATGACACTGTTACTAGTTTAAATTTCTTGAAATGCTGAAGCTTGGATATACTTACTTTCATATTTCATGAAAATACCACCTCTCCTTTTCTTGCTTTTTAGAATGTTAGCTTGACACACAAAGGTAATCAATTTTATCATGCCAAAACAGTTGCCTGCTTAGTTCATCCTAGCTACTGAAAGCAAGAGGGCCCTTACATCTACATCCTTTGAAAAAACAGTTACACAGAAGCTACCATTTTGATTTTTGCGCATATTCAGCCTGTTAAAGGTAGCAGCAGTGACTTCTTACCACAGTGTGGGATTGTGTTAGGGTAAAAATGAGCAGAACTAGACTGCTCATGTAATCTGATTTCACATGCTGGGCTGCGAGCTAGCACTGCTGGTTTTGTGTTAAATCCTGAGGTCCTCCTGATCTCTAACAGTCCAGATTTTGGAGGTGTTGAACCCCTCTTTCAAACAAAGCTGACACTCTGGTCTGGGATACGTAGATAAAACATGGAATATTACTGAGCTGTAAACTCATGTAGCAAAAGTAGGAAACAGCCTCAGAGGCGAGGCAGTTGTAGTCAACATGGCCTGCAGGTAGATCTTGTTCTGCTTGTCCTGTGAGCTGCTTTGGCATGAACCAGTTCTGGCTGGAAAATCTCTGTTGCTGTTTTAGCAGTGGGTCCAGGCCAGTAGGATTTGATAACATGGCTATTGGCTTAGAAGTGGTGAGATCTGAATGGCAGAGGGAACTTGGCTTTGTCTGCAGATGATCCTGTATGCAGAGCCCCAGTAGGGAAAACCGAATCGGCCATGGACAGAAGTATTTTGGATGCCTCAAGGGGAAAGGGCTACTTGGAAGCCTAGGAAACATAATGTAGTTCATGTAGGTAAAAAATAAAGCAGTAACTTAATTGGGCTAACTTTTTGTACCTCTACTCCTAATGTTTTCCAGAATTTAATTACCCTGGATCCTCTTGTAGTGAATGAAGAGAAAATAAGGCCATCCCTAGAGAAGCGCCTGGAAGCTATTATCAGCGGAGCGGCGTTGCTGGCTGATTCTTCCTGCACACGCGATTTTCATCGAGAACGCATCATTGCTGAATGCAATGCTATCCGCCAAGCCCTCCAAGACCTGCTTTCTGAGTACATAAACAATGTAAGTAACCAGACTTTTTTCCTTTTTTCAATGTCTGTCTCAAAGCCTGCATTAGCATGTATTACAATTTAACCTATAATTAGTGTAAATTAGAGTTTAACCTATATTTCTCACCATGCTCTTTAAAAGGTTAAAGGGAACATTTTTCTACATAATTCTGAGCAAAAGATAGATGTAGGTCTTCAGAAACAGTAAGAAACATATGCACTCTGTGGAAAATGCTCTATTACAGGTGCAGTATACACATGTTTAGGTTATTGCATGCTTATTGTGAACTGTCACTGGTACAGAACACATGTAATCCTTCATATGCTGGCCACAAGAGTTTCTTTGTAATTTCACTTCCTAGACCAGAGTTTTAAAATGTAGCTCTGTTCCTGTAGAATGCAACAATTTAAATACTAACCCCTAAAAACGTAAGTAATCTGTTAGTATCATTCTAAAGTAGGGTGTTCACACCACTGCATTTGACCTGTCTAACAGCACCAAGCTTCAAGTGTAGAAATGATTTCATTGATAAATTAGAAAGCTAGGAGTGTTGGGTAAATCCAGAAATCTGTTTGTCTGGCATGCTTATAGGCTAATTCATCTGTGAATTTTTGAAAAGGAATATAGTTTGGTTGTGTTTTAAAAATAACTATTAGATTTAAAGAATGGATTTGGCAGTTGTTCCATCTGGCAGTTAAATGATGAAACAGCGGAGGCTCGGATACTATTAATATGGGTACACAGTGTTAATATCGTTCGTTTCTTCTGCAAACATTTTTTGTAGGCATACATATGTTCTTATCTAAAGATACTTCAAGATGATTCATCCAGCACACTGGGAGGATAATTGTATGATACAGCTATTTGTTTCTTTTTTTGGAAGCTGAAATTCCTTTCTATTCTGCAAGTCACACTAGTTAACCCAGTCCGAAACTGTTCTAATGAGGTTGTTTTCTTTGTCTTACCCTATTGTCATTAGGATAATGAAGTGTAGGAACTAAGATAATCTGTGCAGATCAGATGTTTTCATTTTGCAGATATCGTACTTGTTGATATTTTCTGTTTGTTTATCGGGTGGGTGGGATTTACAGCTGATTTATTTCATTTTCTGTGAATTTAAGTTGCTCTTTCATTCCCTATACCAGATAAAGGTGTGTTCATGTTTTTTTCTTAAAATTTAGCTGCAGCTTCTGTTGAATGCAACGTAATTCTTGAATTCTCTGGTGGTGCTTTGCATGTGGGTTAACTATGGCTCTGGTTAGCTTGAAATGTTAGTCTTTGATACCTTCTTGTAGCAGATGTCTGTTGTGGTATCTGTTCTGGGATGGGTCAGGTTTGCTGAAAGTTTAATAAGGAAAGGCATTAACCTATAGCAGCCAGAGCGTGTGGGAGAATGCAGATGTGTTGTATAACAACCCATATTAGTCCAAAACATCACTGTGGGTTTGTTGCAAGAACACGGTAGGGGGATTCTACGTCTTCCAGGTGTAAAACTACATGATTGTAAGTCAGATGGTCTTAAATTCTTGGGCTCTTGAAACAAAATCATGATTATCTTTCCTATTTCAGAAATAATCACTGGTTTAGCGTTACGTAATTCAGGCTAAGGTGAAAAGAATACATAACCCACTCCACTGGCTTGAGAAAGTCAGGAAGCAGCTATTCAAATTTGGCAAAAAGGGAAAGTGTCATATAATTTGCCGCAGAACACAGTGTCTGCGCAAGGTGGCAAAGACGAGGGGGGAAGCAGAAAGGAAGAAATACAAAAGATTTGAAGGTATGAGGTGTTACGGTAGGGTTAAATGACAGGAATGAATTTGAAGGTTTTAGTTTCTTTCAGTGCTCTTGATCTGCTTTAATTAATATTGATCTCCATGGAAAACCTCTCACCAAGAATAATTTATGGCCATTACTGAGACTGGATTACATAAGTTTTTCAACGAGAAGATCATCAGGTGTCAGTTACTTTATTTCACAACTCTCACTCACTGAAGAATAGATGATGGGTCCAGGAGACAGTGCTGATTTATCACTGTCTTCTGGGCTCTTCTGTTAATAATTCCAATAAGCTAGTACTGTGAATTGAATGAGCTGTAAAAAATTGTGCCAGCCGTTTGTTAACTTAGCACAATCTAAGGTCTAGGTTGTGATTGCCTTCCTCTTCCTGGGACCACTGTTGTACTCCACAAGCAATTGCACTATGTAAACAATTCCCATGGCCTGTTTGTGCCTTGTGCCCAGAGTTGAGGCACAGAGGCTCTGTACCACAGCTTGTACGTGAGAGTGGGAAGTTTTCCTTGCCCACTATCCACAAAGGTCACGCTTTTGCTCCTCTCTTCATCCTGATGATGTATGGTTTGCAGAACACAGCCTACCCACTGCCATTTCGGTTCTTTGCAGTCACTCTCATGAGTTGTAGTGGTTGGCTGCTTGGAAGATTTTTTTCTGGATATGTGTCTGTCATTTTCTGCTGGCTTATGGGTTTGATTACTTTTCCTAAGGCTTCTTTTTGTCTGAATGTTGCTACTGGGAGCTGCATTGCTTCAGAGACATCCCACACAGTGAATGCCACCTTTGCAAATCCTTCCTAGCAGCTGGTTTGCCAGGAAGCTGTATGAGCTGCACTGACCCTGGTAACATCCAGTGCATCTTGAAAGCCGCTGGGCCTGGTGCTGATGGTGGATGTGGCCTGCCTGCTAAGTGTTTAGCTTTAACAGGATCATTGCCAAGGACTTGAGTGCCTAAATTCTGTTTAAGTTCTGCATTGTTTGATTTCTGTTGAAACTGGCCCACAGTGCCTAAGGAAATGTACAGGAACTTATGCTTTAGCCTTAACTATTTGAAATAGCACAGGGAATGTACTGTTTTGTGGTTTGTAAACCCTAAGCTTTTGTGGTTCCTAAATTTGTTGGGTATTTTTTTTTTCTCCTCACCCCCCAATTATTCCAAATCTCTAATAAGCCTTAAGGACTTCCAGTAAATCACGGGCCTGTTGGTGTCCATGATAAAATATACCGTTTTTGCTGCAAACTGAGAGAAACATCTTTTCAGCAGGTACTGCCATTTACCTAAGTGGCTGTTTTTCACAGAGGTGGTATCACAGTGAGGTGATACAATGGAAAGTTCAGCCAAAATGTTCTCTACACTAGTGAAAACCCACTCTGTCTCCAAGATGCTTTCAGTTTTTCTGTTCACAATGTAATTCAGACATACAGTAAATATATTTGTAATTCTTCTGAAAGACAGCAATTTTTCTTCTGGTATTTTGGAATTATTTGTGTACTATTGTTATGCTCTGAATTTTCCTCATAGTCTTATATTGTATTTGCATTTCAGGATGTCAAATAAGAGGAATTACTACTGTGAATTTGGATAGCTTATCAATGGCAGAATCATACTATGGTGTGGGGATAATGTATCCGTAGGAGCAATCATTTTGTTCTAGTAATAAGCACTTGCATTTTCCTGATGACAAGCTCTTGTCCTGTCTCTGCTCATCCTTTAAAATGAAAAGTTATTGAATACATTGGAGTACAACAATACTAAGTCCATGGCTCTTGAGTTCTGTCTGCTTTTACGCCCAGTCACAATAGGGATATGCACTGATCTGGGTGTTTAAAAGGGATAATAGAGTTGTGATTGAGTGTGGGTTGAAGTGGCTGTTGTGAGCAGCAGTTAGGATGATTGCAGGCACTGCTTGCTCTGCCTTCATTAGGTAGGGAGGGTATGTCCAAATAATTACTCTGCACCCATCTGTAGGCCTGAATAAAGATCACTGGCTAGATTGTTCAGACAAGGCTGAAAAAAGGTTGGTCAAGAAAGGTCACATATACTGATGGTAATGATAGCTGCTCTCTTGAATTAACGTTTCCTTACTTTGGGAATGTTGTTTCATGATATTTGAGCTTTATTAGTTTCTCAGCTTATTCTGGATATTGGTGTACATATATCTGTTGTGTATGCTGTTATGCATGCTGGGCCAGGATACTATATGCCTTTTCTGATAGGTTGTGATTCCATTCTTTCTTGTTGTGTATTTCAAAAAATTCTGTTTCTTAACTGGGTTTTTATGTCAAAATCACCGAAGTTTTTGGGTCAGTAAAATAGTTTGCATTTTCATTGTCATTTTGTCATGGTTTAATCCCAGCTAGCAATTAAGTAGCACACTAAAACCAGCACACATTTGCAAAGTTTTTGCATGTTTTCAAGACTTCTAGCTATAAAAATAATTCAAAGGAAAATTTGAAACGTTGAGATCTGAAGATATATTTATAAAAACAATATTCTTTTTTCTTTTAAAATGCATGAATCAAGTTAATACAGATGCGAAAAACATATCAGTGCCACAGAATACTTCTCTTCTTAAAAATATTTCATACACAATTCCAAGACAAGTGTGACTACAAACTAGGAGCAACTCAGTAATTTAGTTGTGGAGGTCCCTGTGCTTTTTGTGGCACAGGTTGTGGTGGCTGCTGCTGCTTGCTGTACCACAGCTATATAGCATCCGTGTGGCATGGAGCAGAGCCAAGCCATCCCTTCTCACACCAGTGGTGGTTCCAGTCATTTAATGAGACATTTAAGAAAATGGGAGGAGACTAATGACACATTTTACCTTGAGGCCAGATCAGGAGGTGCACTGAAGTTGACCACATTGTACATGTTAATATTACATGTTCAGGGTACTGATAATCAATCCCTGACCATCCCTGTAGCCTAAGGGCGGGCCAAGCTGAGGCTGACTGTAAGACTCATCTGCTTTGTGGCAGACAGCGTTGGAGCATTGCAAAGGAGATGAATTAGGTGGTAACAGATGGTGAAGCACCTGTATGGCATGTAGGGCATCCTTGAAACTTACTGGGAATGAAACTGCTGGAGCTTATCTCCCAGGGTTCCCTGAAGGTTCTCTGAAGCCTCTTGCTTCACCACAGGTTTGTGTCAATAACTTCTGGATACGAAACACATTTGGATTTGAGGCATATGTGGATCTGAGCACACAAACTGAAATGCTGTGAGGATGAGATCAGAGGAGGTAGGATCCCTCAAAGTAGAGGGAGAGAGAGACAGGGAGTGAGCTAGATTGTGCTGTGCCTTGTAAGGAAAAGGTATGCAGTACAGAGCCCTTTATAGCCGTGGGGAAGGTCCAACTGCAGGAAAGATGATGCAGTAGATAGTTGGGACTTGTGTCTGTCTAGACTTCAAATTGTGATTGTTCTCTCACTGGAATATGAGCATTGGAATTTCAAAACCAGAAAATGGATGTAAACCCAGGAGTCTGTATTTATTGAGGGCATGATTCTGGGCCTTACTCTTTGTCCTCAACTCACAAATTTGAGTGCTGTGGAGTGTTGGTGCCTTGCTTTACCCCTGTACTGCATAGCCTTCCACAACAGCTTACGGTCTGACCCACTGTCTCTATGTAGAGACTGTCTGTGATTGGTAACGTTTTGTGTAAGATTTTATTGCCATCCTTACTCTTTTAGAGTCGAAGGACTCATAGGTACCTCAAACACGATGTTACTTGTACTTTATGGTTTCCTAAGACTTTTAACACTTCTTTGGATAGAGGGAAGACAAGACACTTTGGTTTATCCTCACAGTGGTGCAGTATAGCTTGCATTTAAGCTATTAATCTTGCTCTGAGCAGGGTTTTTGTCATTTCAGTGCTCAGGGAAAACGTTTTTGGTGGTTCTGGAGACTGCCAGAATTCCTCCAAAAGAGTTACTTCAGACTGAAGAAAAAAATTTGTTCAGCTTGAAAAGGGAGTGTTTCATATTGTTTATTTAAAGAATTGCCTGGTTGTCCTTGTTAGATATTTGCATCTCTTGGGGCAATTTTCCCTTAGTT